CCCATCGTGGTCGCCGGGAGCCGGAGCGGCGGCTCTGAGCTGTCCTGGGCTCGGTGACCCTGTCCCGGGGGTGGGCTCGCCCCGGCTCCCGGCGTCGGAAGCCTGACCTGACCACCTGGGGCCTACACATACTCTCCTTTAGACAAGTCGTCACCTTGTGCCTCCAAATAACAGTCTTTTCATTTGTCGTGGCGTGAGGATCAGGGAAAGACTCTTTGAAAAGGCAGGCAGGTTGAGGCTCGAAAAAAAAAATGTGCCTTTTAAACAGTCGTTATTCGCAGTAAACTTTATGCAGCGTGCAGTGGGTTACCAGACGTGGACGTAGGGGTTTGTAATTGGAAAACGAGCTTACACTTTTGTTGTGCTGAGATTTCTTTGCTGAATCCTTTGGTATCACGTTCGGAAATAGAATGGAAAAATAAGATGTGTCTCTTTCCCATGAAGTTGCAGGCATGGTTCCTGTCGTTCCATTTGTTTGTAATTTAATGGAGCCTCGATCAATGCGAGCAAAGCACTAAATATGTAAGTAGGGCACCACTGAGGATTTGCTGAATTCAGTTTGAAATAGATGACAACTTTCTTTTGACATTTCAGAACATGGCCTAGTCCAACTGCCAAAATATAGAAAGCTTGGGACATATGGAACGATTTCAGAATAGGTTCGGTTAACTGTCACATTTATTAGTTGTCATAGCTTTGACATTTATTGAAAAAAGAAAGTTCGATGTTTCTCAGATCCTTGTTACTGTACCTGATTAAAAGATTACTTTGATCTGATGAATTGAGATTAGCCATTTTGACCAAGTTGGTAGGAACTGTATTCGGAGAAAAGGACATTGTTGTGAACTATAGAAAGACTTTGTTTTTGTTTTTCGAGACAGAGTTTCTTTGTGTAACCTTGGCAGTCCCAGAACTCTCCCCGGTAGATCAGGCTGGCCTCGAACTCAGAGATCCGCCTGCCTCTGCCTCCTAAGCGCCAAGAATTAAAGGCGTGCAGCACCACTGCCTGAAGAAAGACAGCATTTTAACGAAGTACATTTTGTAAAGCCAGATGATACTTAAGATCAATATTTTTTTGCAAAAGACAAGAACGGAAGATTAAGAAATACACCTCTTAAATTGTAGTTTTATTGCCTCTTTGATCCGATTTTTGTTTGGTTTGCTCTGTAAAAGTTTTGTTGTTAATGAGATACTTGGGATCAAACTCATAGCCTAAGCCAGCCCTACTTTATGTTCATTCCAAAAATTTAGTGTTAGAAGAGATCTCAGGTAGCTCTGAATGACTTCAAATTTATGATCCTCCCACTTCCACCTACCAAGTGCTGGGATTATAGGTATGTGCTACAAGGCCTGGCAAGAAGAGGGTCTTGTTTGTTTGGTTTGTTTGTTTAAATCTTTTTTGCTGTTTATAAAGATACAGCAAATTTATAGTTTGCTTTAGTACACAAAATATCACTTTTCACTAGTAACAATGTAATGTCTTGATGGTACACTAAATCAATGACATCTTTTCTTGAGGGCTGAAGTCTTAGAGCATTGGTCCTTTCCCATCTTACTGTACTTTGTTTTACTTTCCAGTGGTTTTTTTTTTTTGAGACAGGGTTTCTCTGTGTAGCTTTGGAGCCTATCCTGGATCTTGCTGTGTAGCCCAGGCTGGCCTCGAACTCACAGAGATCCACCGGCTCTGCCTCCTGAGTGCTGGGATTAAAGGCATGTGCCAGCTCCACCCAGCCCAGTCTTCTTTTTTAAAGAAAGATTATGAGCCTAGAGGTGGTGGTGCACGCCTTTAACCCCAGCACTCCTGAGGCAGAGACAGGAGGATCTCTGAGTTGCAGGACAGCCAGGGCTACACAGAGGAACGAGAAGAAAGAAAGAAAAAAGAAAAAGATTATTTTTTAAAACTTCTTATATTTATGGGTATTTTTGCCTGAACGTGTGTATGTGCTTAACGTGCATGCCTAGCGCCTGAGGAGACCAGAAGAGGTGGTCACATCCTCTGGAACCTGGGCTGCAGATGACTTTTCACCGCCATGGGAGTGCTGGGAACTGAACATGGCTCCTCTGCAAGAGCAGCCAGTGCTCATAATGGCTGAGCCATATCTAGTTAACATTCTTAAGAGCACTGCTACTGTCTCCAGAGTGAGAGCTTTGTTTTCATCCTTGCGTCCCGCTGGACCTCTAGGATGTGGTAGATGGATGGATGGATGGATGGATATACTTTCTCTCTCATGCACATGAGAGTTTTGTTTATCTGCCTCTACATGTAAGTTAGACTACTGTTGTGAACATTAAGATTTATTTTTATTTGACGTGTTGGTGCTTGGCCTGCATGTATGTCTCACCATGTGAGTGCAGTGACTTGGGAGGCCAGAAGAGGCCATCAGATCCCCTGGAACTGGGGTTATTGTTGGTAGTTAGCCACCTTGTGGGTGCTGGAAATGAAACCAGGGTCCTCTGGAAGAGCTGCTAATTGGTGATTCTAACCACTGGGGTATCTTTCCCGTCCTCCCGACTCTACCCCACCTCTATTTGTTGTTGTTTTTTCAAGGGGAAAATTAACTTTTGGTTTTCCCTTGTGTGTTTCATTGTGGACTGTTGTAGAGCTATTGCTCTTGACATTACAGTTTCAGCCTTTAAAGATATTTTCCCATTGGATTCCTTCAAAGGCAGGTAGGTATCTGAGACCATGTGGTCAATCTGTGACGATCTTTGAAAAGTATTGACATAGTTGATCAATGATTGGTCTGAGTCTCTTTCCTTTTTAGGTTGTCAGTTTGTTCAACCAATTTTAATATTGTTGAAACCAAAAGTCACTAGTGATTTGACAAAATTGAAGAGTAGATTTATAGTTATGACCTCACACATGCTAGGCAGGTGCACTACCATTAAGCAGTACCCTAATGGTGTGTTACTAATTTGTTTCCTCTTGAAATTGTATTCAGTTTGCTCTGAGGTCTGGATGAGGCTCATGTGTTGCAGCTCTAAGTGGTGTAGAACAAGGGTTAAATCACATTAAGTTGTATGATAGTATGTATGAGAAGTTTTGTTGAGGTTGCTCAAAATGAACCCAGGTTTTCACAAATGCTACACAAGCGCTTTCTGGTCATCTGACAGTCCCCAGTGTGTATCAGGAATTTTAACTGGATCAGTTCACTCTGAAGGTGTTTGCAAAATTTTGTTGGTATATTTTTCTTGGCAGATTTTATACCTCCCCCGGTTTTTTTAAATAGTTAATTAAGTTTATTAAGCTAATGGAAGATGTATTTAATATTTACATTATATGTATTAAGGATAAATTTATATAAATATAATATTGCCAAGTGTATATTAATAAGCAATGTGTCAACCTATGAATAGAAAGCAAAAGATTATCAGGCAAGCACCGAAGTAAAACCTCTGTTTTGTTCATGTGGGATACATTAAGACTATGAAGTTCTTTTTTATTTAGACATCCAACTTTTTTGTTTGTTTGGTTTTTTGAGACAGGGTTTCTCTGTGTAGCTTTGCGTCTTTTCCTGGAACTCACTCTGTAGACCAGGGTGACCTCAACCTCAGAGATCCACCTGGCTCTGCCTCCCAAGTACTGAGATTAAAGGCGTGCACTGCCGCCGCCGCCACCACCCAGCCAAACTTTAAAAACCTTTTTTAAAATGTTTGCTGCACTGTATCCATTACTGTGTTCCGTGACAGCATTTTCATTCAGTATGGAATGTACTTTGACATTGACATTGCTCCTACTCTTTTTTGTCATCTCTTTTGTGGTCTTTGGTCATTTAATTCTACCTTCATGTCATAAATACATCCATGGTTTTGTGTATCTATAAAGTTAAGGAATTACATCAGAGAAAACATAGCTTGTCTTCCTGATATTCATTTCATTCACTTAATGTCTCCAGTTGTACCTTTTTTAAAATGCAAACCATTTTAGTTTTTTTTGTTTTGTTTTTGTTTTTGTTTTACTTTTTAGGTTTTTGAAATGGGGTTTCTCTTTGTACTACTGGAGCTTGCTCTGTAGACTTTTCTGGCCTCAAACTCAGAGATCCTCCTGCCTCTGCCTCCCCAGTGTTAGGATCAAAAATATGCACTACACCTCCTGGCCATATTAATTGTTCTTTATGGCTGAAAATAATTGCACTGTGTATATACATTGTTTTCTTTATCCACTCCTCTACTAAGGGATCCCTAGGTTCCCATAACTTAGCTAATGTGAACAGTGTTGCAGTAAGCACTAACGTGCAAGTGTCTGTGATGTGCTGGTGTGGGATCCTCTGGGTAATAACAAGGAATGGTAGACCGGTCTTGTGGCGGATCTGTTTTTAGTGTTTCAAGAAACCTCCATACTGATGTCCATAGTGGTTGGAGTACCTTACATTCCCACCAGCAGTATATAAGGATTCCCTTTTGGTGGCTTCCTAGCCAGCGTTTGTTTGG